CCCTAGCTCTCTCCCTGCACTGATGATAGTGTTTTCTAGACAGTCTGGGGTTAAAGAATATAAGCATTACTTTAGACTTTTATCTACTCCATTCTCATTAACGTTGGGATATCTTTCTTTTTTTATATAAAAGTTGGGTTTAGTTAACGAAATATTCATTAAATAAAACATCCAATACTTTATGACAGAAACAACATAGATTAACAATAGCTGAGCTTTAAAAGGGAATGAAATGTGGGGGGGGGGGGGGTACTCTAAAGGCTTCCTACGCGCATTCAATATTATGCTAATTTTTTATTCATTAGCTCCCTGTACTGCATGTTGTTTAGTTTCAATTTATAAAATTACGCGTATGTATGTTCTCAGCTCACGTCACGCGTTGTCGATGTTTGTCATCTCTGAAAATCATTCTTTTTTGGTCCTCCTTTGGGTCAGTGGATATCATTATGCTACCAACAAGAGTTCAACTAAGATCTGATTCTTAGATTACGCCCATGATTGCGGTATCTGATAACTGGATGTTGATGATATTGGCCGATTTTGCCAGAGGATTTCTACAATTCTTCTACCACCGAGCTGGCTGGTGATCTGAGCAGCAGTCCGATGTATACATGTACATATGTACATGTACGCGGCGAAGGTGGGATACCGGGAGCACAGCATAGCCGGCCGGCGTCAGCACTAGCGATGAGCATGGCTTCTGATTCTGCTGACTGTCATCATCCCATCTCGATCTAAGTGTTAACAGAACAGTGCACACAAAACTTCCTATTTTATGCCTCTTGAACTATAACGGATTTTCACCGGACAACCGCAAAAAATCTGCGCCTGAACAACATTGTGGGGTCACAATTATTGCACCGACCAGTGAAGTGAACCAGTTCGCTACAAAAAGGCCTAGGCCTACCCATGACTCCTCATCCCCCGCCTGGCCGGTTGATTCCCATCATCATCATCCGCCCCTAATCATCCCCATCCATGTCATTATCATCATCATCATCATCATCATCATCATCATCAACAACAACTGAACAACTGGACGATTCACCCACCATCTGTAGGTCCTAACTCGCCATGAAAAATGACAAATGCCGAACAGAATCGACGTTGCCATGGGGTGTTTACCAGTGTCCTTCAAAGTTCAATCAATTCATCTTAACTGACTTAAGAACATCCTTCACTGAATTTTATGGAGAGGCTACATCCGTCCAGACTTCCACATGTTCAGTGTATCTTACCCTTACCGATACCACTAGCATCCGATGGTGAGCAATGAGTATGCCACTACGGGTCGGGTCTTGCGATTTAACGTCGACATGATCGACAGCTGGCCAACTGTGAGAAACTCGGAAAAACTAAAACTTGCTCGATCAGTTGATACATAAATGATAGGCAATGATGAAGCTGCAAGATGTTTAAAAGGAAATACAAGATGGATGCCAAATGTATTAGTGTCAATATGTAAGTTATATACATAGTATACATACTCAACATGCTTGATGTGGATGTCATGAATTCTTTTGATAGACTCCCTTTCCTCGTTACTTGATGCTCTCTGCCGCTCCTCCTTGAGCTTTGTGCATATGGTGCACTTTGTAAAAGTGCTTACCTGATTAGTAAATGAAGCATAACATTAACAATTAATCTTATGATCATGCGGAATATGGAAGGAAAAGTGTCCCTAAATGAAATATATGCTTAATTCGTTCAGATAAAATGCTGAATTTTCACAATTCTGTTTGTATATCTTTAGTCTGAAAACAATACATATTGATTTATTGATCTACGATTTTTTAATATAAAATATTAAAGAAAATGTAGGGCCTACAGTACATGTTCACCTTTCCAAGAATGAAATCTGGGAGTTGCGTGTGAAGAGTCTTTGTGAAGTGGCCATATGTAATCACATCTGTGATTCCTCTAGTAGAGAAGTCATTCTTCATTCGTTCATATAGAATGGTGTAGTTGTATGCTGGAGGCACATAGATTTTGTTGTTGTGAGGCATAAAGTCCCCCACTCTCTCCAGAAAGAACTTCATCCATGCTAGTGCCTCTGTTGTTTTATTCCTAAAACATAGATATGATATTGACAGGAATGATCAATTTACTGTGGCCAACAATTTAGCAGAAAACACCAAAATTGCATCATAATGTTCTGAGTTGTTCCCTAAAGAAACTGTTTTGTAAATCTTTGGGCCTCACAGATTAAGATGAAAAATTAGAGTTATTCTATGGTACGATTTTTGTATTTACTGCAATCTAGTTAGGCTAGTTGCGATGAAATTTCTCAAAAAGTGTCTTGTGACAAAACATTAGCAATAACAGAAATTTGAGTTTTGTACACTTGCCTCATGCAGAACTTTCCTTGGTTTCCGTGGAGGGTATAAGTGTGCCCTTCTATGAATGCTTCCTGTGCAGACTCGTATTTATGTTTGGACACTCCCTGCAGCTGGCAGAAAGCAATGGGGCAGGCCGTTCTCCCCTTTAGAACAAAATTTGTTCTGACTTCTGACGAATCCGGATGAAGTCTTTTTTTGGTAGCCTGATCATTGAAACATGACAACAAGTACTGCCTTTGTTTGACTTCACTTTGATTGAGAAAAGAACTGTGGAGTGACCAGATCTCATTTGGGTTGAATTCAAGGAGACAATTGTTGCTGCAACATGCTTCTAGGGTATTGTACACTTCTAGGCTCAAACCAACCAAGCTGTGAAATGTTTTAGGGGGCAGCCTGAAATTTCTTGATCTCCCTCGCGGTGTGGCCTGGCAAATTTCTTCCGAGGAAATGTCACTGAAAAATGACGAGGGGCCCGGGCTAGATTGCAAACCGATGATAACGCTTTGAGTTGATGAGGTAGGCCTACTGCTAGTGCTGGCTAGTGTGTACATGATGATGCCAATGCCAGCTTGAAAACTGCAATGAACAAAAAAAAATCTATCGTAATTTAGGCCTACTCCGACAAAAAGAAATATTCAACGACCCCAAATACAATATTATACATGTAGTAGAAATTGTCTAGGCTATATATGCCAAAAACTTACCGAATTCAAGCCCCTTCAGCGTTTCAATTTCCACTGAAGTATCGGTCGTACATGACCAACGATCTGAAATGTCCGTCGTACTGAAAAAAATTACTCTCTTTTTTTCTTTTTTGCTTTGCGCTAAGACACGCCTACTTTACCCATTTTTTTCTTTTCAAGCGGTCACTGTGATTGGACGAAACTTTTTGCTGAGCAAAAAAGCAAAAAAAAAAAGGAAGAAAAAAAAGAGAAAAATGAAAAAGAGGCGCGAAGTCATAATGGTGTAAATTCAATGGGGTGGGGGGGGGGGGGGGAAGGAAAAAAAAAAAGAGAAAAATGAAAAAGAGGCGCGAAGTCATAATGGTGTAAATTCAATGGGGTGGGGGGGGGGAAATGTCCCCCCCCCGCTCTAAAACTGATAAATCTAGAATATGTTGAGAAATACAAGAATTTCTTTGGAAAAATATGTTTTGCCCCCCTCTAGAAAAAATCCTGGCGACGCCCATGAATGGGGAAGTAGGCCTAGGCTACTTATTTATTTATTTAAGATGAAATGAAGACATTTAGCGCTAGGTTTACACACATTCTCATTAAGAGCGATTTTATTATTCGTCACGTTCATGCCTGTGTTAATACCAGCCTACATTTTAATTTACATATTGTTATGTTTAAGGAAATTCACATATCATGCATACGCTGAGACCTAGACTCCTAGTCATGTTAGTTTTCACTGGCTATAGGTTCATCTCATCAAGTTTTTTGTATGAGATAGGCCTACAGTTAAAACAAATTGTTTCTGCTTCCGATTAGTTACGTGGTATTTGAAAAGGGTAGGATTTTGGGGGGAGGGGTTCTTTGTGTGGATCATAATAATGGAGACATTTGTGTGTGTCAAGGGTTGCCCCCCCCCCCCCCCAAAAAAAAAAATAGAGGGGGGGGGGTTTCAAAATAGGGTAGGGTAACCGGAAGCAAAACTACTATTTTAATTTTTGTGGCATAATTAGGTTGGGGCTAGTAAAAGCACCCAAGGGCAAAAGTGGGGGGGGGGGGGGGGGGGGGGGAGAGAGGGAAGGGGGCCATGACACCCCCCCCCAACCGCGTATCACACCACTGAGCATGTAGTGTATGCACCCTTGAGCATGAAGTGCATGCACCCCTCCCACAAATCATGTCCTAGGCATTTCATAGGTTAAGAAAAGCTCAAATTAAATAACATCAATTTGAACATTCCAAATACTACTGTACTAAAACATCCAGTGAAAAAAACATATATGGTTATTCACCTTCAATAACAACACATCTGAGCTATTACAGAAGCATGCCAATATCACACAAAAAAACTAATAATGACCAACACATCTTCTTTTTTTTTTTTTAATAATACCACACATAAATACTTTACAACTCATACTGCACAGGACATAACAAGTGTGTGGTGTTGTGTATTTTCAGTGTTGTGTAATATTAACATGTAGGCTTTTGTAATATTTACATGTTTTCATTCTAATTCATGTGTGCTTTAATTAAATTTGGGAAACATTAGGGGCAAAAATAAGATTGAAGAGGCAATCAACCAATATACATGTAATTAAGTCCTACAGTACCACCCTATCTACATGAGCTAAGTAATCCAACTTGCATTCCAACATTGCAATAAATCTAGCATTCATAGCCAATTCATCATTTGTTTGATTATACAGTGCAAAAAACCTTGCATTGACCATCCTATGAAAATCACTAACTAAATTCGAAGTTCTCTAAAAATTTCTTTATAAACTGACAAGATACATAATTTTCTCTGATATCAATATCGCTCCTGAGGTGGGGGCATTCCTTCTTTTCGTAATACTGCAATCCTTTACAATGGGAATCATTTGGGGGGGGGGCTGTAGCCCTGAGGTGTTATTTTACACAAAACTCAGGCCAAAAAAAAAAAGAGTTCTGCTTCCGATTACATGGCATTCTGCGCGTAGTCAAGGGTAAAAGGTATAAATTAATGGTTTGGGTCCTTTTTTCCCCCTCATTTTTTTTCCGTACAAAAAATAAGGGTAGGGGATGTCAGAATAGGGTAGGTACCCTACCTGTACCCTACCTAGGTAGGGTAACCGGATGCAGAACAGAAAGTAACTTCTTTTTTGATTTTTCGTTTTCTTTTTCGTAATAATTTCAGATCAAATTCAGTGGGAAAGAAGATAAGTCCCAAGTACTATCAAGGAGTAGTTTTGAATGGAGTAAAACACAGTTCAGTAGAATCTTTAAAGCACAGACCACTGCCGTTGGCTTTGTCGGAAAGTTCAAGGAGATAATGTTTCCAGATGAGAGTTCTGACAGCGATCAGGACATGGATGTAACTGAAGAGCTGGTGGCATCTCCAGAGGCTTCCTCCAGGTCATCTACCCAAGAAAGGTAACAAAGATTTTATGAAAATATGAAAACATGGACACACATATTGACACTTACCACTGATTCATAAATACATGAGGCAGTTTACCTATTCCTATGATAAAAGAATACCTGGCTGGTCGTAAACACTTTTTCAGTGTCACACAAAACTTTGACTCATTTCAAAATCTGGTTATTACTACTCGCAAGAGACACATACCGTCACACATTTTTTGAGGTTGATTTGTTTTTGACTTGTTTGACTCTTCGACCGAAAATGTATTTATGAATCAGAATAAATGTGTGCTTGGCAGGTATAAAACAAGTCCATTTAAACCAGCCGGGGGCCTTGTGTCTGCTAATAATATCTCTTGATTTCGGCTCAGGCTGTTATCAGTGTTCATTCCCCCAACCAGTATGGTCTAAAAAGGGCTTGTTTAAAACTAGCCAAGCACACATTTAATCCCTTATTTTAACTACAAGAACACAGAGATCTCTCTGGTGTTCTAGCAATAGCTAATGTTTTTCAGTTTGATTTGGAGACAATTTGAGCATTATTTAGACACTATGATGTCCAACTTTTGAAAATGTGTGCATGTTACAGAAATTCGGACACGAACACACCATTCCTTAAACACAGTTGAGACAACTCTTCAGATCATTAGATCTAAGGAATAGCCTTTTAACAAAACTGTTATATTCAGTTCACAGGAGCAACCCAATAACAGCTCTGGACAGCCCAGGAAGAAAATGAAAACAGCTGAAGCAACAGACTTCGAGAAGGAAATCAAGCAGCACTATTTAGGTAAATAAATGTAATTTTTTACGATCAAAAATTGTTTGTTTCTATTTATTCAATTACCTGTCAATTAGGCTAGTTGATGTTTGGCAAGCTGTCATGGTCAACAGCTTAAAAAGTTAGCATATATTTGGAAAGTACTCCCTACAAAAAAATGAACTGTCAGCTATTTGCCGCTACAACATAAAACATCTGTAACATTTCAACTGCATGTTTGATCAAGAATTAACATTTAATCACTAACCTTTATTTTTTACAGGCCACTTCCAGATAAAGATAGATCGGCTGAAGATTGGTGTTCAAGTAAGGTCCATTGATGAAGACTATGTCATGGCACTGAAAAAAGAGATGCAAGAATTCACTGATGAGGCTTACCAGTCAGTCTGTGTTGCTCTTCAGAATATTACAAAGGGAGACTTCAATGCAAAGAGGGTACGAAATAGAATAAAGCTAGCAAAGTGCTTCATATACATATATAAGCACCATCGATATCAGAACTTTCAATAATCCAATTCTGAGAATATTCAATTTATCAATTATCCCGTGTAAAAGTTGAAGACCATAAAGATGACACTTGGATTAAAAAAACATTTAAGTCCCAACTTTCCATGGCTTTCTCTGGAGCAGATTGATCAAACTTTTTTTAAACAAATCCATGCACTGAGAGTTATTCCAGAATGAGCATTTTCTTACAGTTTAACATTGGGGCAGACTGCAAATTTCAGTAAACGCAGAGCACAATGCGAAAGTGAACCTTGTTAATTCTGTGTTATTATTATGTACCTAAGGTGGATGACTATGAGTACCAGGTTTTGGGAGGACAGCATCTAGTAACAGCCAGTAGACAGATGAGAGGCCAGGATCCAACTCTTGAGACCCGTTGGTGCGTAGTCTACGCAGACCTGACACATGATCTCTCAATGTGGCTGTCCCACCGACACAACGAGACCAATGCATTCCACAAGTCGATGACCCTGAAAGACAAGGTAGGCCTATAAAGCTCATTATGTTCCAGGAAATTGTCTTCACTGCTTTAAACAAAATGAAAACAAAGCAATTATGAGATTGCTTTTCACTGACAATTATTCATTAGTGCACCTTGAATCGGCCCCAACCATAGAGCTATATCAAATAACTAGAGCGCTAACTCCTCATTCTTGCGCACAGAGACGCTTTGAAGCCGCTCTGGGCGCAGACATTTTGAATTTATGTGCGTGTTTGTAGAACACAATCAAAATAGATGGATTTAATTTTAAAAGTGTACTCTAAATGCAACGCACAAGTAGAACATACGCAAACAACTTAAATGCGCCATGAAGGGTCAAAATACGTCACGGCAAAAAGTATCTGCATCTGCATGTTGCTCTGTTTGCATAGAGCAAAATGACACGCTCATTTAATGATCGTGCGTTTTGGGCCTATCAGCTTCGATGACGCACCGGTATGGAATACAAACGCAGATAGACGTACAAAATACGTACAAAATTTCTAGTTCTCCATAGGTTCGTGTACAAACATGGATGCGCCCAGCAGGCATCACTTTGCACATGAGTTAGTGCTCTAGTTATTTAATAAAGCTTTATGGCCCCAACACAGAGGGGGCACACTAGCTGCTGGGAAACATACCACACCCAAAAGTTCATGAGTTTTTAGCCGATTGGTTGCCAGCGCAGCAGCCTCTCCAGCATCTACCTGCCCCTTTTTCCTTGGTTGCTGAGAATGCCTAATCACACACTTTCCAAATTTATATTTAAAAAGGTTGCATTCTGCAAGAATTTTAAGAAAGAAGAGCGAAAGAAAATGTGCAACATGATCCTCAAGGAAAAGGTACGTATTATTAGACCTTATTCTTAATGCTATGGTCTGCTAAGCAATTTTTTTCATCCTGCTCCCTGAATATGTTTTGTTAGGTGTTGAATTATTCTATGATCAGAGTGTGTGCCAAGCCTCACATTACAATTTAAATAACTGAAATAAAATGTCTCTTCTTACAATAACAAATAAATAAACCGGATGCTATTACATCTTTGATTTATTATTATTACAAGAGTCATGCAATTTTTATGTAAACCAATTTAGTGGAGGCTGGTATATGGAGCTTCCTTTAGCGCATACAGTCATGTCCCCCCCCCCTTCCCCCAACATGGCCCTCCCCCCAAAAAAATGACTTTGGAATGTGATAGAAACTGGATGTTGGAAATAAGAATGTGAAAGGGAAACGTTGATCTGTAGGCTCTTTCTTTTTGTTTGCCATCAACGAAAATCATTGTTTGCACAATCAGTATTCAGGAGAATGCATTGAGAAACTTCTTTATTTAACTATGCACTTACCTCCTCCTATTAGGCCAAGATGGATGTCTCAATATTGCAGCAACTTTCGTCTCTGGATACTGAAGTGGCAAAACTCATGGATGAAGTGCTGAAACTGGCTGAAAATGGGGAGTTGAAAGGTCAGAGCAGACATCAAGCCAAACGTGTTCAGGAATTTCCTGTTGTTGGAGAAGTCCACTCAACTGCCCATTCTGGAACAGCTCAACAAAGGAGAGATGGATGTTGCGTCCTTCAAATGTGAAACGAAAGTTTTGCATAAGTTGAAGGTATGAATTTTTTTTTAACACATTTCTCCTTCCTCATGAACATAAACAACAAAGCACAAAATTAACAACACCAATGATAAAAACAGTCAAATAGGCCTATTAGTTATTCGTGCGAGTGGAACACGGAATAATGAAGCACGCCTGTTCATGTCCCACATGCCACAAGGCCGAAGGCCAAGTGGTATGTGGGAGACAGACGCACTGCATTTTCCGCATTCCATAAGCACAAGTGGGACAAGTTTATCTTCAAGCAAACTTGACATGCAGTAAAGATGGAACAGGCACGCTGTACCGTAGATGGTTATCCTATTACAATTCCGTTTTGTACAAAATGGCGCACACATCTTAGAATGGCGTATTACACAGAGTGCATGTGGACAGTTTAACTGCTGTGGAAAATGTAACTTGGGGACATTTAGTTCAGAAGAACAATGTCTGATGGTTTTGTACACTCGTGCTTTTCTTAACTGAAGTATATTACTTGAAATATATCAACATCACCAAAACATGATTATTACCAATAATACATTTATGATCTCACCCAAATGTCCATTCTGCAGCTCGTTCAGGAAGCATTCCTCCGTGAGGTGAACCTCAAGTTAGATGATAACATCATGCAGCAAAGAACACAGAACTTCTCTGGCTTTCATTTGGCTATTCTTGATTTTCCAGAGGTAAAGAAATGTAACTCCCCAATTCCTTAAAATGCACACATACATCCAATGTTTTATACGGTGTTAACCAAGAATGTCCTACTGTTCCTCTTTTATTAGTTCATACTTCACTTTTCTGCTAGGGCTCCCATCTGTTTTGTACACATTTTTCAAACATGGACTCCTCATATGGACTCCTGTCCACAATCAGTAAAGGTTATTTCATACATGTACATGTTCCAAAACAAAATATTGTTGTGTTGCCTACACCCGACCGACTCAAAAATCTGGACATGTATGTATGCATTGTACATTGTATCACATGTATCCGTGCTGTGTTCAATAAGCCCATAAATGTATGTAGCATGTACACAGCATACATGTGGTTCTGTATTAAATTCTGAAATACACAGCTTTTCCTTATGGGGCAGAATTTGTTTCTGCTTACATGGTTTCTCGTGTGCAGAAATAGGGACAATAGACCCCACAAAGCAGTCATTAGAAATTTAGAGGACTTCTCTAATCTGCCCCAGGAATAAGGAAAATTTTTAGTGAACAAGTCTTTTCATCAACAAGGAAATAATTTGCATGCACAAAATAGATCTCTAAATGTGGCTTAATTGAATGGGTGATACCCTCAAGCCATAATATTTGTCAAACTGTGATGATTAGTACTTTTTTCTTACAGACTTGGACAGTGACTGACCTTCAGAGGTTCTGCATAATGCTGCGCTACATAAATGTACAGCTGTCCACCCTCACCCACTATAACATCGTTTGTCTGTGCTCTTTGAGCCAGCAAGCAGAAGTACATCGTGTGCTTAGTTCTGAGACGTTCTGCAAGGTGGAACATGCATTTTACCGAAAAGGTACATTACATTTACATGAAAATTGTTTTCAATAAATGTTACAGCCGCATGCATGTTTCTAATTGTCCTCCATTACTGCTTCGCAAGGACATATATCACACATGCATGACACTTGAATATTCACAATAACAATTACTGATAATTGTGAATTAGGGAGACATACCCATAGACTTGAGCACAAATAATAAAAATAATTTTGTGACCCTAATGATTTGACCTCATTCTACCTCACAATTTTTGGTCTTTTTACTAATTGGACCATGAGCAATCCTTCTAGCCTATACAATTTTGCCTCTCAATAGGAACTGAGGCATTGGGTAAACATTGAAATATCTCCCTAATACCACATGTCTCCCTAAGGCCAAAACATATATAGTTCTGCTTGTTTTCCCTACCTACCCTATTCTAACAGCCCCTACCCTATTTGAAGAAAATGAAAAAAAAAAACAAAAAAACATCAATTTCTACCTTTTACCCTTGACTACACGCACATGCCTCCATATGATAGTACACAACAAAAATTGGAAGAAAAAAAATTCCCTACCTACCAACCCTATTTTCGAATGCCATGTAATCGGAAAAAGAACTATTGTATTTTTGGCCAAAGGTATAACTCATGACGTTAAAGAGTCTTCCAAAGGTTACATGTATACTTGTGGTTTTAATCATCATGTGGTTGTAATATTATGTGTCTATATTATTGGTTATCCTGCGAGTCGAACATGGAATACGTAGTGTTTTTTTGTGCCACATACCACAAGCACGAGCGTGATAACCATTTATCTTCAAGCAACTTGACGAGCAGTAAAGTTGGAACTAGCTTGCTTTACAATCCTTTTAGTGGTTTAGCACATGCAGCTGGAATGTCACACACATCTTGGAAATGGAATAGTGCAATACGCAGGGTGCAATATGTACTGTGTGAGACAGTATATCACACTGTTGTTGGTATCCAGGGTACAAGTTTGCTAAGACATAATAATATAGACATATATGGCAATCAAGAAGGGAGGGAGAGGGACAGAGAGTGAAATTGGACACAAAAAAACACATTTTTTCTCACCTCTCTCTATGCAGGAAGTGTGCAAGAGGACAATGCTCCTCAGTCCGTCCTGCAACAAGATGTTGGAGCACTGGTTTGCGGTTTCTGGTCAGCAAGTGGCCGGGTGTCAACTGATGACCAGCTGACAAGGCCACGGTCCAACTTCTTTGATATCAAAGAGCCATGGACCTTGGCCAAGACAGACAACGGGTCTCCAGTGAATGTACATCAGAAGCCCCTCCAGCTGCTTCAAGACATTGTGGACGCCATGTCACCCAAACAAGGCTGGGTCCTTGATGCCTGTAGTGGAACAGGTAAATGATGTGCAGAAAATGTAATTTAATATTGAACTTCTAGTCAGCAACTAAAACTGGTATGCCATGATGTTTAAAAGAGTAGCAAAAGTATTCATTAATAGAAACATCTCAAGTGTCTCAAGTAATGTTATTGATATTATGAAGCTGCCTGCAGTTTTGTAGAAAATTTAATTGAAGGGCTAGTGTCCACTTTATAAGTGACAAACCTATTTCTCCCTTCAAACATTTTTCTCAACTTAATGTTAATAACAAATGGATACATTGACAGACTACAAGCAGCTCATAATTGCCTTGTTTTATACTTGCAGAAGAATGCACAAGTGCAAAATGGACACCATATAACTTGCGTTAACTATCCAAAAATACCATTAGAAAGATCTGCTTTGCAGTGAATATATGTGTTGTTTTCAAGTGTTTTTTTCCACAGAAAGGGAATTTAACAGAAAATTAACCTCATGCAGCGTTCACGTTGGTTTTTAATACCAATATTGTGTCCTTATACAAAGTTTATTAAGTAGTCAGTCAATGAAAATACTCTTACATAAGTCATATTTCTTCACTTTTCCATCCTTAGGAACAGGGATTGTAGCGTGTCTGCTGGGAGGTCGCAACTGTGTTGCAGTTGAGCTGGAAGAGAGTCAGGCAGCACATGTGACAAGGCGTCTGACATCACTCGTGTTTCCTAAAGAATAAAAAAAAACACCAAAATGTTTACCATAAAGAAAGTTTGCTTTTTGCAGTTCCATAAAGCTTTAATAATTTATAAAAGATTTTAACCAGTCATTAACCCTAACTCCCTAGGCCTTTTTGCTAGGATGTAGCCTCATTCCTGTAAGATCCTCCAATACGGGCGATTCACAATAGTGCGCCTCCAAGAGTTTGCAACGCGTTGGCCAATCACACTGTGCAAAATCTGTCAACCCAATGCGCGTTTGGAAAAGGTCGATTGATTTCGCGCATTGTGATTGGCCAACGCGTTGCAAACTCTTGGAGGTGCACTATTGTGAATCGCCCGTATTGGCCTCATGGAAAAAAGCATATAGCCTCAATCCTGCATATTCCTCCATTATTTCTTGATTATGGTCTACTGCCTGAATCCTGCGATATAGTAAACAGTCTCTTTGGTCGCGTGAATGCAAAATTAACTTGAGCACAGCAGCGGATTAAGAAAGCGATCCAGAGTTTATTCAAATTTAACTCACAAATGGCTTATTGATTGTGCCTTTTTTTTTGTTTAACTACATGTAAATTGTGTAAATGTATCTGAATCCATTTTATGCTTTCACACTGAATCTAACAACTATTGCAAGGCATCATTCACAGCAGACTGAAAATAATATCCTGACAATTCTTTGGTTGTATACAAATTCTATCATGTCTATGGAGACTGAGTTTTTTTTTCTAGCAAAATAGGACATCTGTCTGTCTGTCTGCATTAACGCAACGGAGAGAGAGGGTGTACGCTGGGATGTTACATTGAGTGAGGTCCGTGGCCGAGGAAGGTTTTAAACCTCTTGACCGAGTCGGCTTGAACAAAGTTTTCCTCAAGATGGTTCCTGTCTATATTTGATGTGTTACAGAATGAGTTTTTAAGTTGATCTGTGTTGCACCAGAATACTTTGAAGCACTTGGAGTTTATGGCGATGGAACTTTGTATGGTATTTGGTATAGTTTGTTTCTGTGAGGTATGGTGTCGAATGCTTTTGAAAAATCCAGTACGGCTATGTCGACTTGCTTTTTTGTGTCCAACGATTTGAGTAGATCATCAACTGTAACAATGAGCTTGGTTTTGTATGAGTAGCCACTGCGGACCATGGTCAGGTGTGCCATGATTTGCCTGTAGATGATGTGCTCAAGCTGTTTGCATATCACAGACGTTAGGGAGATAGGCCGATAGTTTTCAGCGAGGTGTTTATCCCCTTTTTTTAACACACATGATATGTCGGCATTCAGCCAGTCTGTAGGTAGGTCG